ATATATATATATATATATATATATATATATATATATATATATATATATATATGATCATTTGATGAATCAACGCCATCGAACATTGAATGTGTGCTGATCTTCTTAAGAAAAGAATAACTTATCAATGCATATATAACAAATCGCTATGTTTTCTGTTTCAGTGGGGAGCAGCTAATAAATAAATCTTCAGATATATTATATACCAAATATAGATATATGATAAATATTATTTGGGAGATAATACGAGAAATAATACGAAAACAAGAAAAATAGATTGAAATAAATAAATACAATAAGTGAATCAAGAAAATTCTACATATAAATACATATATTTGTGATACTTATTTACAAACATAATAATATATGTATCAAATACTAATTGATGAAAAAATAAAATGAAATAAAATAGATTGATCGTTCTAGACATCAAGAAATTTATGTGTTAAGCGTAAATCTTCATTTGTTCCCTCAAAAAATACATAAGCAATTTCATTCAATTGAATCACTCATATTATTTCATTTTCGATTCTGATAATCATTATTAAAAAAATTTTCAATCCCATAATCGTTATTTCTATCGAACTTCTTTCATTAGTTAATTAGAGTGGAGTAAATATGCCTCGAAGTAAAGTCCAGCGCACACCGGAGGAAGAAGAATTTCAAAGGCTCAGACGCGAGAAGAATGCAGCTTATCAACGAGAATATCGTGCGAGAATGAAAGCGAATAGAAATATCGAGCTCAATAATTTGAATTACCAACGTAACAACACATTTAATTCAATACCCAATAATGAAAATCCATCAACAAATAATGCTGATATCAACGGAGATCTATCAAGACCTGTTGCTCATATCAATGCCGAGGTCCACAATAACGTTTCGATCCAAACACCAGTTAGATTAGGTCGACCCTCTCGCGCGACTATTCGTGAAATGTCATATAAAGATATCCAAAAGGACTATATGGGAAAAATGGATAACGTATGTCTGCATTGCCGTGCAATGCACTTCAAGGCAGAAAGAGTGGCATACAAAAAAGACTCTTTCAATGACTGTTGAAACCATGGAGAAGTTGCTCTCGATCCTCTACCTGATCCTCCTACACTGTTACGGGACTTATTTAATGGAGATCACGATCAATGCAGTCATTTTCTCGAACGTATTCGTTGCTATAATAGCTCCTTTAGTTTTGCATCATTCAATGCCAATTTGCTCAATTTCAATAACAGACGGACCGGGCCGTACTGTTTCAAAATACAGGGACAAATCTACTATCAGATGAATACATCCTTATATCCCTCTGAAGGGGAAAGTCCATCCCATGGTCAGCTTTTCATTGTAGATCAGAATGAAGCTACAGATATTCGTTGTCAACAAATCTCTACATTAAATGAGAACATCGTCAGAGATCTAGAAAGCACTATTCGTGAGTGCAATGTATTCGCTCAATCTTATCGAATGATGCATGAAGAAGTACAATCAGTGATGGAGGATAATCAAATACAAAGTGAACCAGAAATGCAACTTCTATTCTCATTAAAACCTGAGATGGGCGAGAGACGTTATAACTTACAAAAAATCAACGAAGTGGCTGCGATTTTCAAAACAACTGCTCATGGTGACATTCCAGAGTCTTACGTCACTATACGTAATAAACAGACGAAAGCCTTACAATTTATCAATTCTCTAGACCCAAATGTGGAACCTTGGATTTATCCGTTATTTTATCCATATGGAACACAAGGGTGGTCTCCAAATATTTCATGTGTAAACAAACCGAAACGTGTTTCCCGAGCCCAATACGTCAAACACAGAATGGCAGTCCAAGATAATAACGTATTTTTGATGGGTGGAAGATTGTTTCAACAGTGGATGGTTGACAGTTATGTGAAAATCGAGAAAGATCGTCTGAATTTCTGCAGGACCAATCAGAAAACCTTACGCGCCGACACCTATCAAGGATTACTCGATTAATAACAACGATCAGCCAATGATAGAGACACTAGATTAGGGAAAGTGATAATCCTACCCTCATCATTCACAGGATCGCCTCGAAATATGTTACAACACTATCAAGATGCCATGGCGATCGTCAGGAAATATGGTAAACCTGACCTATTCATTACAATGACATGCAATCCTAATTGGTTGGAAATACGAGAAAATTTGTCGCCACGCCAAACTGCATCCGATAGGCCGGACTTGGTTTCAAGGGTTTTTCACATAAAAAAAGAACGTTTTCTGGAAATCATCATGAAAGAAAAATTATTTGGTGATGTACTTGCATGTGTGAATGTTGTTGAATACCAGAAACGTGGCTTACCTCACGTTAATCTACTATTGACATTGAAACAGAATTGTAAGATTACTACTCCCGATGTAGTTGATCAATTCATCTCTGCCGAAATCCCAGATCCTCAAGAAGACGAAATTCTCTATGATACAGTCATGAGAAATATGATTCACGGTCCATGCGGAAGTTGGTGTAAAGATGACAGAGGACGATGTACTAGAAGATTCCCCAAAAACTTTCAAGATGAATCATCGATGGATGAAGATGGATATCCCACTTATCGGAGACGGAATACAGGTCTCTATGATCGTCCCAACGGTAATTCAACTAATAACCAGTACGTTGTACCTCACAACCCGAAATTATTGAAAATATTTAATTGCCATATCAATGTTGAAGTAGTGACAAGTATCAAATCGGTTAAATACCTCTACAAGTATATATATAAAGGCCATGATGCGGCATGTGTTACCATAAGTGATCCGCAAACCAACGAAAATGTAATTTCACGTGATGAAATCAAGAATTTCGTACAAGCTCGATATGTCGGACCAGCTGAAGCATGTGATCGGATAATAGGATGACCTTTGCAAAGTAAAAGTCATTCAATCGTACGGTTGCCTGTTCACTTACAAAATCAACAAAATGTCACAATCAATGATGAGGCAGACGACGATTCTATGAGATCAGCATTACAGCGGACAAACATGCTTCTCGATTATTTTGCGCTGAATGAACGCGATTCTAATGCTCATCAATTCACGTATTCTGAAATTCCATCGCATTATGTATTCAAAAAACAAACGGGTTCTAATGTATCAAAATGGGAAAAACGTAAATCGCATTTCAATGTCATTGGACGAATGTATAGTGTTAGTCCAACACAGAGTGAGTTGTTCCATCTTCGCTTATTACTGATAACTGCCACAGGTCCAACAAGTTTTGAAAATCTCAGAACCGTCGATGGTCACACACATCCTACGTTTCAAAGCACTTGCCTCGCCTTAGGACTCATCGAGGATGATGCGGAATGGGACCGTGCAATGACCGAAGGAGAGGTATGGATGATGCCTAGACAGTTGCGTCATTTCTTCGTAAGAATTTTGATTGATTGTCAACCAATTAATTCAGAAGAATTCTGGGAGAATTTCAAGGAAGCAATGTCTCAAGATTTCCAGAGACACTTGAGCACAGGCGAAGCCGATAGGAGAGCATACGTTGGAGTGAATCGTCTCCTATCTTACGAGGGATCTGATATCAGCCGGTTTCCTAACATGCCGCCATTGACAGTTTCAGAGGAAAATTATGATGCCGAGACGGATGATGAAATATCACTTGAACAATATAAAGATATCGGTCGAAATCAATATGGGAAACTGAACTCGAAACAAAAAGATATTGTCGATAATGTGCTGAACGTTGTCGACTCAACCGAAACACCCACACCATATTTTTACATTGATGGTCCTGGGGGCTCCGGAAAAACGTTCATCTATGCTACTTTGTATTATTTACTTCGAGCTAAGAGGAAGAAGGTACACACGGTGGCTTTCACAGGAATTGCTGCCATATTACTTCCACGAGGGAAGACAGTTCACAAATCATTCGGAATGCCTGTTCCAATTTTCAATGACTCAGTGTCGAGTTTTAAAAATCAGTCAACCAAGGCTCAGTATTTACGAGAAATCGATGTTTTCATTTGGGATGAAGCTCCAATGGCGCCGAGATATGCTCTTGAATTAGTTGACCGTTCTCTACGTGATTTTATGGGCAATGATTTACCATTTGGCGGTAAGATCATGATTCTGGGTGGAGATTTTCGTCAGTTACTTCCAGTTAAACCGAATGCAACTCGCAGTGAGCTGGTAGATTTGTCTATTAAATTCAGCTCGTTATGGAGACATTTCTCAATATTTGCTTTAACACAAAATATGCGAGCTTTACCACAAGAAATGAAATTTGCTAAATATCTTTTGTCGGTCGGAGACGGCAGTTTGAATGATGATAATAATAATATAGAGGCTCCAGAGCAATGCGTTGCTCACATGTCCGCTGATACCATCGATATATTCAGGAATATTATTAGCGAACGGAGATATGGAGATTTGGCAAAAGTGGCAATTTTGTCAGCACGAACTGTAGATGTGGGCGAAATTAATAATCGGGTTATCGACCTACTTGACAGGAGAATTCGAAGGATTTATGCCAGTATTGACAGCGTAGAGAATTGTGACAATGGAGATATAAGTAACGAAATTTTACCAGAATATCTCCATACTTTGAATCCTCCAAATTTTCCACCATATGAATTGAAATTGAGAATCAATTGTGTTGTAATGTTGATACGAAACATGAGTGTCAACGAAGGACTCTGTAATGGAACACGATTACAGGTACTTGAACTTGCGAACAATCTCCTACGTTGTCAGATTTTTACGGGTGACAAGGCTGGAGAAATTGTTTTCATACATCGCGTAACTCTTTATTGCGAAAACATTTGCCCTTTCACCTTCAAAAGACGTCAATTTCCATTGAGACTCGCCTTTGCCATGACAATTAATAAAAGCCAAGGTCAAACTTTTGATAAAATAGGAATCGATCTTCGGAAGGATATTTTCAGCCACGGTCAATTATACGTTGCATTTTCATGTGTTCGGTCGTGGGATTCCTTGACAATTTTCCTCGGAGCTCAACGTACAAATAAAATGGTGAAAAATTATGTATACAAAGAGTTGTTCGGTTGATACTGATCGATGACTGGGAAATCGAAATTTGTCACTATTGAGAATGGTTAGTATTAATGGCTGTGACATACACATTGTCTTACTATAAGTCCTCTATCAATTGTCCGAGGAACAAACCCAAGAGAAACGTGAACCATCGTTTGAGAGTTTGCATACAAAAAAAAACATTCAAGTTGTTCACAATTATCAAATGCTCATACCCAAAGCAACATTCCCGTTCAGCGCGCGGAGCGCGCATCGGTCTCGTACCCACATAATAGCTGATGGAGAGAGTAGTGTGCATAAGGTGATTAGACAGTATAACCCTTATCTAGATATGAATATTTCTGTGATAAAAATCGAGTGTTATAATCATCTCCTGCGAAGGTTGATTCTTTTACTCAAAAAAATTGGTCGTGATGACCGTAATCTCATCACCTGGAGGAATTTAATCGAAAGTAACTGTCTGCGAATAAGGACAGACATTATGGCAGCAGTTGATTATAGAAGGAAACAACCGATTCCCGAGCGAGAACAAGTCGAAAATCTGCGTAAAGATTGCATCAATATACCTCATCATGTTTTCGACGACCATGCGAAATGTGAGAGGTATTTCTGCGATGCGAAATTGAAAGAAAATGAAGTAAATCACGTTCCTATGATGAAAGAGTTGGGCATTTTTCAAAAAATTGAAAATGTATTCGAATGTGTCATTTCTAATTGCGATAGTTTGATTAAAAAATTGAATAACAATCTTTGTGAATCATGCAACGCTCTTCATGCAAAAACCATCGCAGGTAAACGTATCAACTTTACATAAAGAGGATCTTATACTGGTAGTCTGTGCATCTGTAATGCATTTCAATAATCAGGATGTCCTTCAGCGGAAGGCCAAAGGAATGAATAAAAAACCTACGCCAATAGTGATCTCTCGAGAGCAAGCGTAAAGCTACTAATGAAGACAAAAAACTTCGTCAGCATCTGTCTAGAATTACAGAAGGGAGGGTTCAGAAAAAACCAAAAGTAAACATCAGAGGAAATAAATGCACACGAAAACGAGTGCAATGCGGTGTAAATTGTGCAAAGACGGATTTACCTGAGTCAGAAATTGACAGAAAGAAGAAAATACTTTTGGATGAATTGACCTGTTGGCAGAAAACCCGCGCTGAAATTCAAACGACAGAAGGGAGGCAATATGGATCTTAGAAAAAAAAATATCCCAAAAAACGATTTCAGCAGAGCACTTTGGGGGCATTTGTAAGATGCGTGCTTCAACATCTCGAAATCAGATTGTGAAAGATAGTCTATATCCTTCTACACAATCAATATCGAAGAAGCATTCTACCAAAGGATAAATAGAGGAAGCAAAGGAGAGACTTTTTGAAGAATTGGGGATCATGATGACCGATTCTGGATTGATAATCGACGATGAAATCTCTTTTGCAGTAACATCGCCGACTGGTTTGATCGATGATGACGGTGTTGTGGAGATATTCTTTTTACATGCTGCAAGAGATAGAACGCCGGTGGATGCTATTGAAAACGGGATTGCTGAACTTCACAAAATTTATCAAGATCATGATATCACCCAAATGAATCCAAAACATAACTGGTATTATCACATCCAAGGTACTTTGCATATCACTCGACGAGTTTATTGTATTTTTCTTCTAGCTATCAACAAAGGTATTCATTGGGTTGGAATTGATAGAGACCAGAATTTTTGGGAAAAGAGCATTGTAGAACCGTTGAGCAATTTTTATAATGAGTGTTTAGTTTATGAAGTTATTGACAGTCGCTTCTTCGGAGGAATGAGTGTGAGAAATCCTCCAGAAGTTGAAGCAAAAGTCAGTGCCAAAAAACTGAAAAAAAAACCCTGTTTACGATAAAGATTATTATATTTATTCTCAACAGGAGGATTTCATCATGAGTCGATATAATTGTTCAACCTTTGCAGCTCTTGTTGGCCGAGAGCATTTATCATTATATTCAGTAGATTATGCAAGTTACTTTGGAACACGACATATTTGCAGTGACGTCATGGATAGTTTCATGATCATAAAATCGAACACTACTTGATTGAATGCTCAATTCATCCCCTCCAGTGATACAGGGTTCATTGTTGGGAATATGAGTAATAGAAATCATGGAGAAGAGTGGCATATGTATAATTTAGAATGGGTTTTCGAGGGAAAAATCTTCCTACCTTACACGCGGAATGGACATTGGTGTTTAATTGTTCTGGACATGAATGAACAAACAATCGTTCATATGGATCCTTTGAGCCAAAGGAAAACGTTGCGTGGAGATGAAGCTTTAATCCGATTTCAAAAATATCTGAATGATTGTAAGAATAGACGGAAGAATGCACTGTGTGATATTGTATGGATGGTTGTTTATGATTTCGAAAAACGCCCAATGCAAGTAGACACTTACAATTGTGGAGTATACGTTATGTATTACATGGATTGTACAGCCCAAGGCAAACCGTTTGATATGAAATTCAACCCGGACAACTATCGATTATATTTACAGAAATTGCTTCTACGGGCATCAGATCCAATGGACGGAATTTGTCTTAGTTGCCTGAATGATCAGAGTAGATCGGAGACTGTTGTGTGCGTTTCCTGTAAACGTTGGGCACATAGGGCATGCAAAAATGCCCCAACCAACAGTAACTGTAGGTTCTGTGCTGCTTACTTTACATGATATTTCTATATGGGATTGAAAAACCCCAGACCTTTCAACCCTCGGCATCACGTCTCCGGTGGATTTGTTTCTAGTCATTTTTAATCCTAATATTTTTGAAACCAAGATTCAATAGGTATTTATTCTCTTCTTATTATTAATAATATGGCTCCTTTCCAGAAATCGTTAGGAAGAATCAGACATTTCGGGTTTTCAGATGACATCACTTTTTATTCGGTGGGAACATTTTATGTATGAATTACATAAAACAAGAGAATTAGAATTTAGAGAGAAAAAATTTCCGCTTCACCCAGCCCGGAATCGAACCCGGGTCTCCCAGATACGCGCCGGGCACTCTTACCGACTAAGCTACCGGGAACCACACAAATTCACTCTCAAATTCACCTCAAACACCGTCTAACCTCCTTTAGGCATTAAAGAATTCTAAGAGAATTAGAATGAACTTGAATTTGTCTTCAATGAAAAAATCTACTTTCTCCAATTTTTGTCACTACGCGCCGATCGATTTATCGCAAAAAATTCATGAAGGATAACAGAACTAATTGAAATAGAATAATAAAAAACAAAGTGTGTAATTATTCTGGACTTCAAAATCGCGCGGCGCAGATGACGCAGTCTACCGGTAAGCCCCCCGGTAGGTCCCCCACCCAGTCCCTCCGGGTACAAGATGGCGGCCGTACAGCTGTCAATTCACTTGCAATTTTTAACATTTTTTATAGCTATTTGGTGAGCTTGGATCATTGCCATCTCGTGTCACCTTAATTCTACGCGGATAATAATCACTTTGAGGTATTTTTCATATTTTTTCATCAAATAAATCAGGAGATTTCGTGGAGCTGAATTTTTCCGGTATTTCGATAGTTTTTTCGTACCCTCCTACCCTCTTAAATCACGTACAAGGTGGATTTTCCATAATAGATGCCTTTTTGGCATGAAATATTATTAATCATACTTACTTTTATTTTTGTTCGTGCCAAAGTATTATTAAATTCTACCAGAATTATTACTTTATCAATTAATATTCGATGATTAAATGTGTTCGGTCTAAATTATTTTTGTTCAGGCTATTTTCCATTATTTGGGGCCAGATAAATCAATGGGGTGTTTTCTAATTAACAAAAGAAAATACTATTTGTTCAATAAATATAAATTATTGTTCGGGCCTTTTAACACAAAATATTAGTGTGAAAATAAATCAATAATAAACACAAAATAAATATTAATGAAAATTATTCAATGAAAGAAAATACAACTGGTTGTGTGTTTGAGGCGTCCCTCAAATCCCCACGCTTCGACTCCAAATTACGACACCAATTTTCCCGGTTTTCTAATTAGCAAAAATATAATTCAAAATAACTTTAAATTCCAAAAATACGCTTGTTATAATATTCTACATGACTTTATTTAATTTCCGGGATAATTCTCAGAGTCGATTCGTCGTCAGTCGCTCTGATATTCCAAGATGAAATTTAATTGATTTCGATTTTCTTCAATTAGCCAAAATGTCCAAAATGGCGACACTAGAGAAGCCAGTTACGCTCCGGGCTTTCCTATGATTTTCCTACTAACTCGGTCATATAATTATCAACTCTTATGCAGTAAAAATGATTTTCATTTCTACTCTACTTTTCTCACTAATTATTCCGCAAGGACCGTTCAATTTCGACACGATCTCCGCAGTTACTATTTGCCCTCTGCCACACATGTAATTTCTGGTATGCTTACTCACGTGAGTGGAAGAGATTTATTTCTCTCGATTACTTGTGTTTTCTGCTTTTCCTCGACGGTTCTTGAATTTTCCTCGTTTCCCTCACTCTTCAAGATGTTCCTGAAGCCTGAGATACACTTAATTTCTAACTAATATCTTACTAAATAACTATTTACTAATTACTATTTATGAGGGGTTTGTCAGTCTTTGATGTCGTCACGCAGAGTGAAGAGTTTCCAGGTTTCTCCCGTGTTGCAAGTCAGTTTTTCTCCTTCTACGTCAATTTCCACCAACCGGGACCATCATTCTATCATTTCCGCCAATGGAGAGCATCCTTTTATTTCCCTCTTTATTTCTCATCGATTCACCCTCGATCAGGGTCGATTGGCATGCCTCAAGGTGAAAGTTTGATGAACTCTGATAATGGGGTCAATATCTTTTTTATCAACTCATCATCGACAACTGGTGCTCGAAGTCCAGTGTTCCTGGCAGGAGCAAGGTTTCATTTATTTAAGCAGTTCCCACTGCTTAAGCCGTCCTAGAGCCTTCAAGGTCCACTCCAGTACTCTGACACAATCCTCTAGTCAAACTCCGGGCCCTCCCGAATACTTGGGAAGTCCTCGTCCAGCCCTGTCGTACATAACCCCACCTGTTACAACAGTGGGCCATGTGAGTCGTTTGTTTTTCACTTATTCTATCAGGTCTCTGGAGCTTTTCTCTAACTGTCGTTACTCCTCAGGGTTGAGGAAATGATCTTCAGTCTCTTATCGGATCTAGGGCTTAAATAATAGCACTTAGATCCTGGATAACCCTTCGGGATGCTCTCCAGGCGATTCCACCTCTTCTCAGGCAACTCCATAGGACTCCGGGTTTCCTTCCACTAAATGCCTTTACTGGTGCTCCATTCTACTTCTTCAGTCAACCCTCCACCAAATTGGGGATAACTTACTATTATATTTTTGGTTCCATATGTATACCCTCTCGGGTTTTTACATTTTGTTCCCTTCCCTATCTGCGTTACCATGGGCCGACTTACTTTATCCCCAACTGCACCCCATTCGGGATTGGACTGCCAGGGAAACCATGGAAAACCTCAGTCGTACAGCCAGCCGATAATGCAGGGATTTCAGTGTCCACTGGTCAGACTGACTCAATGGGCACAGTGGTTCTCTACATTCGTGCCTAGCGACTGTAGTCCCACGCGGTTAGGTGTGCCTAAGCGGACACCCATCCAAGTACTGGGCAGACTGAACGCTGCTTAGCTTGGATGACCGCCGGAGCCACACACTCCCCGCGTGGCCACTACAGCCCATCTGGGATAACTTACTAATATTTACAAATGTCCGAAGATAATGGGTAAAAGAACTAGAGGGTACGCTCTCCCATTAACAACTAATTAATTTCCTTTTAATAACTTATTATTTCCAATTATTAATCCGGGTTTTTAAGTGACCTTCGTCACAATATATAGGTGAATGATTCATAAAAAAATCTACTTCGTGTACACCGGATTGACTCTTATTTTTTAACAATTTATTTAAACAAAAGACAAAAAATTTCGATTTTCAATGGCAATTTTTTTTCTCTAAATATTCAAGATATTTCAAGGAAGGTTAGTCCTTATGATTTTTTCTCTGAACTCAATCGTTTATTAAATAAGTAATAAACAGTGACAAACGAATTTATTTATCATTTTTCATTCAAAAAACGGTCGAGTTGAGCGCAAAAATTATAAGGACTTATCTTTCTCAAAATGTTTGGAATATTCAGAAAAAAAATTTACTCTATAAAAATCGTTATTTTTTGGTTAAACTAATTTTGAAAAAATGAATCAGGTGTATGCAAAGTAAATTTCGTTGTGAATCACTCACGTATCATATGAAGAGTATGCAACTACATGAAATGCGAAAAAAAAATTCAGTCAACATCTTCAGTAAACAATATCAAAAATCCTTTGAAAAATCATTCGTTTATGAATTTTTATTGATAAAATGATTGCAAATACGGAAAAATGTTTAAGGACTTGCCCCCTTTGAGATAACAGGTGTTCTATAGAAAAAACAATTCCTGGTGGGAAAAGTTGACTTCAATTGTTTATTAATAGTTTGCTATTGGGTGTGTGAATTGACTCCGCCCTTTTTTGTTCAAATAAAACACATTTGCTTCTGTAGAAAATTAAAGAAAAGTTTATTGAAAGTATGCTCCATCTGCAGCTACAACCTTCGCCCATCTTTCAGGTAATTTACGTATTCCTTGCCTGAAAAAATCCTGGTCTTTTGAGCTGATTCAATTATCAAGCCAAATTTTGATACTTTCGTATGAAGTGAACCGTTCTCCCGTAAGATCTGCCTGCAGTATTCGGAATAAGTGGTAATCCGAAGGAGCTATGTCTGGCGAATATGGCGGGTGGAGTAGCACTTCCCAGTCCTGTCCATCTAAATATCTTTTCACAACTTGGGCGGTATGCGGTTTGGCATTGTCATGTTGAAGAATTAATTTACTGTGCCTATTCACCCGTTCTGGTCGTTTTTCTTCTATGGCTCGCTTCAAACGCATTAGTTGTCGTCGGTAAACTTCTCCATGAATAGTTTGAGAGGATCCGAGCAACTCATAGTATACAACACCTCTCTGATCCCACCAAATGCAGAGCATAACCTTGGCACTGTGAATATTTCTTTTTGGCTGGAATGGGTCGGGTTCACCTGGCTTTACATAAGTTTTTTGGCGTTTATGATTCTCATAATACATCCATTTTTCATCTCCTGTGACTATTCGATGCAAAAATCCTTTTCTTTGCTGTCTTTGAGGTAGCATTTCACAAATTGTTTTTCGACGTTCCATGTCTCTTTCTTTCAATTCGTATGTAACCCAGTTACCAACTTGTTGAACCATTCCCATTGCTTTTAAACGCTTTGCAACAGTTGATCGTTCAAAATTTAATGCTGCAGTCAATTCTGATTGAGTTTGGTAAGAATCCTCTGCTAATAATGCCTCCAATTCAGCATCTGCAAATTTTTTTGGTGCTTTTCCATGTTCTTTCTCCTCAGTGCCAAAATCATTATTTTGAAATCATCGAAACCATTCCTTGCAAGTTGTATTAGATGGAGCATGCTCACCGTAAATCTCCACAAGCAAACGATGAGTTTCTACTACACTTTTCTTTGCAATATAATAGTGTAATAACACTTCCCGCAAATGATGTTTACTTGGAGCGAAAACCGACATTGTCACGGAGGTAAAAACACTTGTTGTTTACATTTCAACCAAATGTCACGTAGTGCGTTTGACAGCTGACATAAAGGACTATCGAATACAAGTGTTGCCATTTATTAGTGCACGTAAGCAATACTAAAAACGACATCTGTAGGGAAAGGGCGGAGTTATATTCACACACCTAATAATAACAAAAAAACTCACAGTAAATCGGATCCTGAACCTCCACATTCGGATTCAGCGGGTTGAAAGAAAATAGAAATCAGTAGAAAAATTTTCTCGACCTAAAATGTATATAAACCCCTCTCCCCCTTTCCCCCTCCCAAGCGCATAGAGTATAGTTTCAATAGTTTCGGCTTTGCATTACTATCTCAGTCCAGCTGCAGGAACTCCCTTTGCATATTTATAATACACGACATATGCATGAATTTCCAATTAGAAATGGTTCTATAAATTAAATAAATTATATAATAAAAATAATATAAAGTCAATGTTTTATACCGTGAATAACCTACAAGTGTAGTTTTCAGTTTGAGTGACCCGCTCACGCGATGGCCTCCGGCGTGCGCACTCTAACCTCCGCCGACGTTGTCGTGTTCAGCCATCATTTTCCCCTCGCTCAACCAGAATCCCGAACTATGCCATACATTTTTAATAATTAAAAATAATCCGTGTGGTTACGGATAATGAAATTGTGAGGAAATTTTCCGGAGATATTTACGGTTCTTTTTGTGAAAAGTTTCGATTTTTCTAGTATTGTCGGTTATTTTTCAGTGATTTTTGAAAAAGTGCTGCCATAAGGCTCTGTGTTAATGTCATAATGTGATATTTTCTCCCTAGTAATCTACGTGGTTGAGCGTGTTCGGACTTCGGAAGGATATTTCTAATCACTGAAAGAATATAAGCTCAAAGTTTCAGCTAAATAGAGTATTTCGTTCAACTCCCATTTGATTACTGTGGAAGTCCCCTAAATCAGCTCAAGGAATTTGAATAGCTATTAACTACGTTGTTTCATGAGAAATTTACGTGAATGCAAATGGTCGGAATAAGTAGAATGTTAAATGAGGAAGAAAGGAAATACCGAGATATCGAGGGGGACAGAGTCCAAGTGTTTTGGGGGCTATCGAAGGGGATTTACTAGGTATCTCATTCATATGTGACTGTTCATTTCAAGGAGTGAAAACAAAACAAATGAAAGATGAAAGTTTTCTCACGCAATGTGAAGTAATACTGGGACTTCGTGAGTCTAACTAGCGAGAAGGGAATAATTCTATATTGCAACATTATTGTCGAATTTTTAGTCAAATTTTCACTTCAATATGATAAATTGTGTACGATTCAACTATTGAATTGAAATCTATTGTTCTCCGCTGGAAAAATCCGAATGGAATTTAGGGGAAATTGGTGATTATGGCCCGTTTGCATTGATGACATGATTACTCGTTACATCCGTTGAACATTTATTTTGATGGCGAAGAGAGATAAATTTGAGGGAGTAGGCATTTCCTCTATATCGATTGAAGGTTTCTTGTCAATGAAGACACATTCGCCTGGTCAACAAGATGTGATCGTCAGGTTATTATGATTTTGTTGCTGTTTGCGCATCATAAGATTTGATTTTGTTTTCAACAACCAACCTTTCTCGTTTGATTACTGTAGTGAGGTGGAATCTCAATAGAAGCTCCTTCTTGTTCCAGGGCAAAACTCCAAGAATAGAATCCCTCTTATTACGTACGTATCAAAATAATGTTAAAGAATAATTTCTTTAAGATTATTTTTTCAATAAAACACCCACTATCGAAATAATTCCATATTAAAGATTTGAAACATTTATAGTACGGACGTTTCTTTTGCTTTAATTATGAAAACCACGAGCAGTACTTTTGCTCTAAAAATTATTATTTCTGAGAACACTGACTGGCCTTTCAATTATTAACGAGAAGATTGAAAGTAAATGAAAAATTAGACCAGGACTTTTTACATTCCTCATGAGATTTTCAAATCAAGCATTGACATACTTTTTCATGGCAAAAATCTCGTGTAATTATAATTAGCAGGTTATGACGATGGTAAATGTAAACACATAGTTTCCTCCCTTAACTTTCAATTTTGAACAAGATGAAACTCCCTGTGTTACGTCTCTTCCCGATTATGAGATAACTCACAGTTTTCGACGTTTCCTTGTTATTTTCCGTACTTTCAAATTGTTTTTGATTCTGGAAATTATTGTTTCAATTGTTTCTAGCATAAAATGAATCGAACGTTTGCGAGGAAATTGACACAAATGCTATGCTGTATAAAATTAGTTATTCCATTATTTTGAGAAAGTTGCATGGTATGTCAAGTTTTTTCGGATATTGAATTATATCGAAAAACAGAGATTTCAAAGAAAAAGTATCATTATGTCACACTTACACGGTCTTTCGTCAGTATCCAGACCGTCCGGCTAAAGTCTAAACTGTACTAAATGTCGCTTCGTATATGCGTTCGACCTCTACAGAAATAGCAAGGAAACATGAGGTTACTTGTGTAGTACAGTCGTCAAATTAAGTTCTGGGAGTAACTAGACGTTTTCTGGTAAGGTTGGGTTGCATGGGAGATGGGATCGAAATGAACGACCCAACCCAACCTCTAGCAACAAACGTCTAGTTACTCCCAGAACTTATTTTGACGAGTGTACAAGGTTACTAGATACCATAGACATATAATAACTAGACGGCGCATGTGGTGGAGGAAGCTGTACAGGTTTAGGTAGAGAGAGATGCCCTTGGTCCCTACATATCCTTGGTCAGCAGTGCTGAGAGTGGGAAGAGACCTGCTGCAGGATGGGAGTAAAAATTCAACTGCGTAGGGAAAACCACAGACGAACGTGTTCTCATCGTTTTATCCAAAATTAATATTTTTTTTTTCGTCATTAGAATTCGTGATAATTGAAAAAATTGTAAAAATGTTCAAATGGTGAATTTTTGTTTTGTGTGTGGTGTTGAACGATCTGTCACTGCGGATCTCACGTTCCATAAGTATGATATTGTATGAAATAATTTTTTTTGNTCTGATTATTATGCTACATATGACCTTGACAAAATGTTCTCCGATATCTTCCGGATTTTACAAATTGGCGATTTTCTCAGGTAAAGAAAATTGGAATAATTCCAAATGTTAATAATTATTATTGGAGTTTCTTCGAGGTCATATGCAGAAGAATATTCTTATAGATCACCATAATTCTCACGCTTGGAACTGATTTCGGAGCACCTGGAAATGACTGGCCTGGAGAAATACGTTCCAAAAGAGATATTTTCTTCTACTAAGAGTATGAAAAAGATATCACCAATAACATTTTCTTGGAAGGAATAAAAATTTTTCTCAGTGTGATCCCGTGTGTAGAGTCGGCTCACGATTTAAAAGAATTGGACGAAAAGCTTTTTTCTGCACAAATTAAGGGATGTGAATTATTCCTCAAATATCCAAGAAAAAGAACAATCATTCCAGAGGAGAAAGGTCTGACAACATTTTTCTCTTATCCTGGGGATTTAACAGATATTCTCCTAATAATCTTCGAATTTAGTCTAGTTTTTGAATCTCTCATATTCATGTCATTTCCACGCCCGTGATATCAAAGTTGATTGTATTATTCTAAACGGAATTCACAAATCTATGTGTCTCCTCACAGGACACAGAAAATGCGCACCCGCAGTACAATTTATTCGAGTTCTAATATAACAATTACAATAAATATAAGCCTTATTTATATTACTGTGATATAATTACAGTAATATAAATAAGTAATATTACTTATAAAGATATTATTCTCGACGAATAAAAAATCAATCTAACATTGACATCTTCGAAAGAAGGTAAGAGATCATGTGTACGTATCAAGGTCTGAACACAAAACAATGGCACATCTAAGGGGGGGACTCAGGTGAAATGCGAAACTTTTCAGTTGATAAAATTAACTATTGAGCGACCTTTGCTATATAAGGGGGGACCTGAAAACTAAGAAAAATTTCGTATTTGAAATTTGAAATAAATACCTATTTTTATTCTATGGAATCTAACAAACATTTTGAAAAAACAAAAGTTTGAATCCGATGACAATTGTGGTGCGAGGGTCATCTTGAAGCCAACAACACGAGAAACGTCGTTTTCCTTCGATGTATGGGGTAAAATGAGTTGGATAGAGAATGCTTCTTCATTTTTAGGTACTCCATGATATCTCAAGAATCGCTCAATAGTTATTTCCATCGATTGAAGAGTTTCAAATTTCACTTGGGTCTTTCCTTAAGCTCGTATCAAAATGATGTCCCCAAGGGATTTTTTCCATTCGACGATCGTACTCGCATGGGATGGGTGGTCGGGCCAGCGTTCATATTCTATGAATAAATAGAAAATATGACTATTTTTTACACTTGAATATTTCCATTTGTATCATTTTCTGGCTACCTCGCTTGTACTTCCCATCTCCCATGCCTTCCCGCTCTTTGCCCTTCTACACATTCCAATCTACCAATCAGCCATAACTAGCCTCCCCGCCTAAGGACTGTTAGACAGAGAAGGGTAGGGACCATGATTCTCTCTCTCTCTCTCTCTGTTTAATTCCCCAGATCTGTGTTCCATAGGGGATATGGGGGAATGCGCGGTCTAGGTATTATATGTCTATGCTAGATACCCAGTTTTTGAGGTTGGCATCAAAGAGGTTGGGTAAAGCAGAGATCATCATAGGGGAGATGAGCAGGACCAATGTAAATTGTTGAACAGCAAAATTGGTAGCGGTAGCGCACGGACTACGATGGAGCGTACGGAACTGTTGGTATGGTAGGGCCCGAGTATAATTTTGTCGATAACCGAAAAGGGGTTCTCAATACGGTACTCCTCGCATTTTGTAATAATTGTCAGGAATGTAAAATCGAACATATTATCATCAATTGTATAATGAATGCAGAATCTAATTGCCTAAAAGTCTTTTCCTTTTTCTCGACATATTTATTATTGACACGTAGGTCAAAAAATTCATAGAAAATCCCAGCGCTGTCGCTGGAAAACTCTATAGTTTTCCAGTGATTCTATTGAATAATTGTGCAGATTTTGTTTTTTTTTACTATAGTAATGTTCGATTATATATATTTATTCCCCCCCTGAGTGAGAAAGGAATATGTATCGCGCTCGCTCCCACTCATTGTCGTCTCCGTCGCGTTGGCACGGGCCCGTCCTCCGCCAAACTTAATGAGTGCGAGTGAGAAAGACAATGGAGAAGAAGGAGAGCGAAAACATTCCAACTCGTTTGAACGGTTGGAAAGTTTTGTTGTTCTCCAGCGATCTACACATAATGGGATTAATTCAATAATAATAGATTAATGAATAAGGTTTTCGCAGATTATTGCGAGATTTAGATGACTGGTTTCCCTCCTTCAGTGACCATAAAAAATTGTCTCCAATCGACAATATCTCCCGATGGAATGGAACGATGCGAATGAATCAAGTATCAATTTGAATCTTTAAAAAATTAATCGAGATCGAGAAAAAATCCGGGAATTCCACCCTGACATTTCTCTATTGTCTGTATTTACCAAGAAAAAAAAACATTGTTCCTTGGAATCGATGTCTTTTTTAGGCAGCTGCATTTCTGAAATGCAATGAGCAAGCAATGTTAAAATT